AAATGGATTTCGATTACAGTGCTTTAGTGGAAATGTAGTTGAACAAATAATACGCATTTTTGCCTCGAAATGTCAACATCTATCCATATATATTCTCTTACCAATAGACACTGTTGTTTTACTTTTGCGAGATATGCGACAATTGTATAGCTTAAATGTGTTTGTTCAAGTAAAAAATGATGCAAAAACTACTACGAAATGGTTAGAACAGCAGAATATTGGATTGAATTATACCAATTGTTTTATGTTTAATCAGCAACATCATTATTAATTTTGGTTGGGAAAACGTTGAGCACATATTTCTATCTATAAATCCATTCCACGTAGGTCACGACCAAACTTGCTCAAACGATATCACCAGATTCTGCTCAATCTGTGATACTCTTACAGGGGGGGAAGAGTTTTAAGAATTTTGACACAAACTATTCGAAAAAAAAGGTATACGAAAGATGCACAAGACGAAACTTGCGCAGGGATCGATATATCAGGTCTCGAAACAAAACAGTCTCTGTCACCCACACCCACACCGTTGAATTATCAGTAATAAATTGTAAAATAACTCTTTATTATATAAGATTGGCAGTAAAAAGGTTCGATTTATATCAGTAAAACCCATATATTTTGTTAGAAGAAAAATAAATTTTATAATTATAAAATATAACTTCGTATAAGCATATTAAATTGAAATAAACAAACCAAGACAGAATAAATAAGTACAATGTGAAAAGATCACTCAATAGGAATTCAAAGAATAAATAAACAAAAACAGAAAATGAAGGTTGATTTATATAAAACAGGTTTAACTTTTGTTGCTAGTAGTCGCTTGCGATATTTCAAATGCATTTTGATCTTATTATTTTCTGTTCTCTTGTTAATAGTGTAAAGATGATTTTGTTTTCTCATTCCTCATCATCTTTGGAATATTCCTTATTATAAAGCACTATAGTAATTCATCTGCTGCAATAAATGAAAGTCATCTACACTATTACATTAACATGAGAATTACATTTGATATTGATATAAAGTTTTGGATTTATTTGCGATAGAAACTAAGAGTTTGAAAATATGTCCTGGTATATTTGATTTGTTTTACAAAAGTAATTTGATCTTCGTATAAATTGAATATTTTACTAGAAACATAGAAAGATGCGAGATAAACATTAATCGATAAAGTCGAGTTGCTAATAGAAAAAGAAAACTAAGAAATGTCGCTCTCCAAAATATTTGTGAGTTGATTTTTTTCTTTCTTTATCGACTGGGAGAATTGAAAAAAAGTTGGTAAAGAACATTTGAAATTACGAAATTATCTTTTATCAATGATGAAATGAATAAAACTATGAAAGAAAGAAAAAAAGAACATTACCGGTACTGGGACTTGAACCCAGACTGAGAGATTGAAGGTCTCTTATCCTACCGTTAGACTATACCGGTATGGTTAAGTTTTGAGAGGAACATCTTCAAATTCTGCAATATCATCTAATCATTGACTTTCTTCTTTTTTTTTATTGTCTAACGTTATGAAAATCGATTATCATTTATCTGTTCATATTCAGAAACAAATTCACACAATTAAAATAGTTGCTACAGTAGAAGTGTTATAATGATTTTTTTTTGTACCACATTTAACACATTCAACCCGATGAGACCCATCGGTGGGTCTCACTATATTGTACAGTGATTAGTCGGCTGTGATAACAAAAGGTTCTCAGAAAATTCTTTTCGTCTGTCAGATTTTGTAGAGCTCTCCTTGCCGATCATTCTGATAGAAAGTTTTTTTTAATTTAATAAATACATGACGGTGCTAGGGTAGAAATACTGAAAAAAATGAGACAGCTCTGTCTGCTAGAGCTATGATTTTTTTTCAATATTTTGACTCTAGCACTGCCATTCATTTATCAAATTTAAGAAATTTTGTTTATTAAAATGATCGGCAAAGAGAGCTCTACAAAGTCCGACAGACGAAACATTTTCTGAAATCTATGTGTTTTTCATGGTTGACTACCCATGAAAATACTCAATTATATGTCTGAAAATTTTGAAACTTTTGTTAATTCTTTAGCACATAGTCATTCTATGAATTGCTAGTTATACTACTAAATCCCGTTTTCGACGAGGTTTCGTTTGGCATAAAAGTCAATGTTGATATCATTTGTATTTGGAGCTGTACCCTCTGGAAAAATATTATTTTCTACTTCGTAGAATCAAATCGGGTGCAATGTGTTAATTAGGTAGAATTTACTTAGAAGATTTAGTAATCCATCGAAACAAAAAACAATTACTTTTTCAACTGCGAAAATCGTATTTTGTCATACATATACACTAATATCAATATTACAAATGGAAAGGCAAAATTGTTTAATAGCACTTTCAAGAATATTACTTCAAGTACTTGATGCTGATCAATTTTATCGTTCCATAATCGTTAGAAACAATA